AATCTGCCACTTTGTTTTGTGTATGAGAAAAGCTTTTGATTACGTCGAAATTTGGGCGGTACTACAGTCCATTCTATTCAGAGTTGACTGTCGGTATATTGAAGTGTTGAATTGTTTGTACAGTAATGCTATGATGGCTACATGGTAATTATCTTGTCGTAAGCGATAAATAGTGCCGTGCAGTGACGGCGTAAGAGAATACACTTCGTCATATCTTGGGTGTCGTAACAGGCAACAAAGGAAAATGAAACAGGAGATCGGCTGCAGCATCTTCCTGGTAACAACTTAATAATAATAAAAAACTGTGACTGCCAACCCACGTGCCAATGATGGCAACTATAATTTCACTGGTGTTGCAATTGTTCTTGCTCGTCGTGACTCACTTACCATTAGGTGAGCCGAATGCTCGTTTGCCGCTCTTATATTAATAAAACCCCTCTACTTTCGTCGGGGGTTATAAATCCCCCCTTTTTTCCTTTACATGGGGAAATGCCTACGCATACCCGCCTCGCGGCAGGGCCACGGGAACGCTTTCGCACACATCCGCGGCCCAACCAGCGCCGGCCACCCCATGGCGTCTCGTCTTCGGGAGAGGACTACTCCACCCTACCTTCTTCTCAGTTAGGGCGCACCAGAACACATGGTGCGCCCTATTCCGCCTCCAACTACACCTGCGCAACGGACGCCTCCGAGTCCGATGCGCGAAGTCCATGTGGTCAGGAGAAACGAGCACTCGCCTTCCTGACCCCAGCGGCGGATCTGGTCTTTGGTTTAATGAATGAATTAATGCATAGAGATAAGTTAAAAAATAAAAATTCCATTCCATCCATTGCAGCCTATAAGACTTATGCTGAACTAGGCCTCTCCCATAGATTGCCTCATGGTAAGGATTTTATCATAGTTACCAGGTTTGGCACGAACTTTGGCAACCGCATTTTTTTTTATTATTTTGAGTTGTAATCAGGAAGATGCTGCTGGCCATCTCCTGTTTCAGTTTCCCTTTGTCATCTCCTAATACAACACCCACGGAACGATATGGGTGGTGGATATTCTTACACCGCCACTATTAGTTTTAGTTACAGCCTACGTCCCACTGCTGGGCGCAGGCCTCCTCTCGTTACTGTGAGGGTTTTAAGGCAAGGAAATGTCCGCCGCGCTGCCCCAATGCTGCAAATGTTGGCGAACTTCACATGTCTTTCAATTTTTTTATTCTTTTTTCTTATAAATGCCTCGATGTTCACGATGTTTTCCTTCACCGCCGAACACGTGGTAAACTATACGACCGCCTGTTTATAATTTATAGACAAACTTTTTTGCATATTTTTTAGGGTTAATAGCTTCTGTTTACGCTTAATGGTAATTGTATGAGGGATGGGGATGGGGGAGCGATTCGGTAATCTGGTTGAATGAATTAGAGACCACCTAGCTTTTAGAGGAAGGAATAGATAAATTTAGGAATTAAGGAAACAATTTTATGAGAAATACTTATGGGATGCCTCGTAATCATGGAGTTCATTTACCCTATTCAATGAGGAGATCTCTTCATAATGATTGTTACAACAGTATTAAAATAAATAGACATTTATAAAAATGACACATTTAATTCTATAATAATATAAAGACATTTGTTGCGTATCTTTAAGTACTTATGAATACCTTAAAAAATATTTTACATAAATTCTATTGAAGTTTTAGAAATAATAAAGCGAGTTCATGATTAAAAGTCAATTAAATATAAAAATTCGTGGACAAAAAAAATTATATTGATTTACAAGTCTTCTTGCTTAAAAATATCAACGGTTCCGTTAGAAACAGGTAATTTTCTCAAATATTAAATACTTTAGAAATGGTATACATAATTTTAAAAAAACCTAAGTTTTATAATTTAGTGTCTAATTACAAAAGCAGACCGACAAATGGTGAAACTTGCTAATATCAGCTAATACGTATAATATAAGACCTTATAAATAATATTCATAGATGCAATAGTGATGCTCAATAACATTTCAATTGAAATAAAAATAAAGAAATAAAGTAATTACTTTTATAGTGATGTAACACTTAGTTTGCATTAGCAGTGCTTATTATATAATATAGATAAATAAGGACTCTACTTGAATTTAAAAAAACAATCCTTTAATTTAATGTATGAACTTCATAAATTTTAGATTATTTAATTGAATGTCAAAAATTTTCAATATTAGAAGTTGATTATATCTGAAAAGTAGTAACCCCGAACATACGTAGTAACCCTCAAAATGGAGGACCATGATAGATATGTAATTTGTACTACTACCAATGAATCGTTATGCCTTTTGACATTTTGACACAAAATGTATTCTATAAAATTCTCTCTTTCATGTGTTATAATTATAACATAAAGACTCTAGTCTTTAAATAATTTTCTTAGACCTGAAACATTAATAATTTGCATCTGACCATGGTCTGGCCGTCATTGGAATATTTTTTGGTTCATTTAGTTTCACGTTAGCTATTTAATTAAGTTTTGTTTGCACAAATAAAATGCCATAAGACATTTTTAGCAAATTGAATTAAATTATTTTTTTTAAATATCATTGGCAATCTATTGATTAAGCGATACAATATAGTATCAATATCAGCATTTTACATTTTATTAATTGGTACAGAAGTGTAAGTTAGTTATTTCAATACCAAGCGAGGCATATTTTACTAACATTTTTTGCTTTAACAAAAATCATGGCCATATGGGTTATACTCATGACTGAGCTAAAAATACTTAATAAAATCATAAGCACCCAAAACTAACTTAAATTCAATTAAAATATACGCAATAACTAACTTAAGGACGGACTTAATAAAACGTAATCAGACTCAAAATTGAGCCAATAATACAAGTTTTTTTTAGATTAAAATAATAATAAAATAACATTTTGTACCTTAACTGGATTAACAGTGTAAATATGGGATTCTTTATAAATAAAGCCTCCTCATTAATTAACCCTGCTTTGTACTTAAATGTAAATAAAGTATATATTATAGAACTTAAAAAAAAAACGTTTGTTATTAATAAGTATAAATTAATTTCATGTTTAAAATTTTGATTATGCTGATACATTAAAAAAAAATTGTACTAATTTAAATATGAACCGTTTTATTCATAGAGCAACACGGGCAACCGGCGAACCGGAAGAAAGTAGCCATAGTGTTTTTTTTTTCGATACAGAACTGTCTGTCCTTTTTTGCAAGGGGAAATCTGCGCACACAAAAACAATCGTCTGTCACTACGAAAAACACAAATAACAATTAAAACAATATACTAACAATTTCACACACACATAGATACGTTGTAACGCTATCGCTCGGTGAGAGCGACAACTCAGATACAGACTCGGATCAGTGGCTGCACCGACCAGCATATTGTATGAGGGCGGACAGCCTGTGTTGGTAAACAGATCCGAAACACACGACCGTTATTATTGTAATTTTTAAGTTTATAAAGAAGTAAGTAGCAATAATGTGATTAAAAATTACTTATACATATATGAAAATTAACATAATTTTTTTGTAAGTTTGCCGTGGCAGATCTCCTTTTGCAGCAATAAAACTTAACAATTCGACATTTTTGTAAGACGTCGACTCAGACGCGCAACTAAATTCAGTCACAGAGTACATTGTATATACAAGAAAAATTCAGTCTAGTGAGCAGTGCGACTTCAACTAGTTTTATTGCACGTGAACATGTACTCTTTGACAGAGAGGAACGCTTGCGTATGGCTACTCCCCTCCGATTTGCCGATGGCGCGTGTTTCTCTATGGTATTATTACGTGGTTTACTGATATTCTCTGGCTTACACTATGGTTTAAGAAGTCTTTTTTTAAATTTCATACTACAATTTTTAGTTCGCATATTTTCCGCTAAACTGTTTTCTAATCTAATTATAATAATTTTTGTAATAAAGCGGTGCGTTTAATGAGGGCATCCACGACTTTTTCTGCCACCAGGGCGGCGCCACTTTAGAGTAAGGTAAAATATTTGACAGATTTCATAGCGGGGATGATAATTTCTTAGGAAAATGTAATCTTTAAGGTTTCTTTATGTATTATTAGTTATATTTTATATTAATTACATTAGAAATGAATAAACCAAACTATAAATATAACTAAAAGACTACTTTTAAAAAAAAAAGAGTTATAATGTGCAAAAAATTAAAAATCAATCCACTGACGCATTGTGTTGTGTATTAATATAATACTCTAGATAATGATAAACTATTGTTTAAAACTAATTTCTCAATTAACTGACATTGTGTAACAAAAAATTTTACCTCAGTCACAACTAGCGACATCTGGTGAGTGGAAGATTATTAGCCCTCATTATGATATATTCAATATAAACTGACGATTCTATTTCATTTCAAGCTTTTAAAACATTAAATATATTTTTTAGTTTTAATTGAGTCATGATTTTATTACAAAAAAATATAAAATAGGTAATTGATATACCACATCGAATAATGGAATGTAAGTTTGAAGAAAGGCATTTTAAAACACATCTAATTATAGAAATATATAAATACATTTCTTTTATAAACCTATACATAGGAGCGTTATAAGAGGAATATAATATTTTGTGCGAAATATTTTGGGGTGTCAGTAAAATAATTAATTTAAAATCTTACTTACTATACTATAAATAATATAATATCAATTCAAAGTTCAAAGCACACACAATTATGAATACTTAATAATTATAATTAGGAATATATGAGATTACTTCCGATTTACCTACGTACTATTTTAATTGAAAATATAAGTCTAAAAATGAATTTTCTAATTTTATATAATTAATAATTTTCTTAGCGCATAATTTTAAATTTGTTTTTTTTTTTTAATTTTTATCGATACATAATATGCATAAGCTCACTTTGACATTCTTACACATACAACTTAAACATAAAATAATATCATTTTTGAAATAAATATTTATTTTCGGTGGAGTTTTAAACACGAATATTTTTGTGATGTTTTATTTACATATTTTGGAAAGTAATATTTAAATGAAAGAAAAGAAACCCAATTTTATTTTTGCTATATCTATATTAGCCTTATCTATTTTACCGCTGTTTACTAACTAACTTAATGTTGTTATACGTTGAATTTGTTTGTGAATGAAGTGTTTTGTGAAATAAATGGGGAATGCAAGTATTAAACGATGCTCGGGAGCTTATTGTTTGAAAACCAAGAAAAGTATGAATACTCACATTTCATTTCTGTTTATATAGTAATCAGTAAATACTGAGTATAGTTAGTAACACTATTCTGGGAAAACCTGTACCTAATCGCCCTCCCTCTATTTAAGCTTTCACTTGCATTCCCCGTTCAAGGTGCCATAGAGTATGTTTATTCTTTGCTCTCCTTCTGCTGGTTTTGTTCGGTGTACACAATCTCTGCATATTCGGTGGAAGGTGGCGGTGGCTTTTCAGCTGTTTGTTCGCCAAGTTGTAGTTCAGCGTATACTACGCCTTTCTTCTCTTCAGATAGGACCTATAATTGGTAAAATGATATTGTAACAACCTTGTCAAACACGCAGGTTATCGATAGATGCAGGTGGCACTGATTATTTGGGGAAAGCTTATTTTCAGACATGTTATGGTCTACATTCAGTAAATATTGTAAGCTAGGCTAGGATATTAGTAGATATTAGGTGGCTCCTAAACTTCATCATTAGCTCTTCAAAGTCCACAATTTATTCTTGAGATTCTTCCATAGCAGGAAGGGCCTTACTCGTCACGCTTGGCGGGCGGATTGAAGATCACAGTACCAGACGTATCGCACCTTCGACGCTGCTGTCTAGTCGTCATAGGTATTTTACGTCTTATGTATGTGTGTGTACCATCTATCGGAGGAATTCCCAAAGTGGTCGATATCGACCCCTTGAGGTCGAAATCGGTTTCCCAGTGGTCGACATAAACGAAAACTGATTTTGGGGGTCGACAAGTTCTAAAAATCGACCTCTATTAATTAAAACGAATTCTTATTTGAAATTTTCAATGATACTGTATTGTTAACGGTATAACGGTAAGTTGTGTTACGTGTACCAACTTGTTATAAGAATGACTAATATTTTAGTAGGAAGTACCATTGTTGTACTTTTAAAAAACTCATCGATAAGCGTGTACAGATCGTACAAGATGAAAATCTCGGCAAGTCAATACCCGTGGACAAATTCGTATCAATAGGAAAAAAACTAGAGATAGGATTTTTAAAGTACTTTGGCTATGGGGGTCTGAGGTATCAGTTCATTTTGGAAAAGGGGTCTCTTGCCCAGAATAGTTTGGCAATCCCTGATCTATCGGAATCCATAACATTGTCTGGCAATCCCCATAGTCGCCTCTTGCGATATCCACGGGATGAAATAGCGCAAAGGCTTATATTACAACGCCACCAGCCACTACACGGCAAAAGAAGTCCAAATTGAATTTTTGAGCCATGCTGCAGCTATATTAATAGTATAGTTGTAGCACGAATGGGTCGGCTCGACAGGGGAAGGACCACGCTCTCACACAATACCTACCAGCGTATAATAGCAGCTTGATGCTGCTGTATTTCGTACGGTGAGTGCAGACCCTTTTTACTAGAAACGAGGCATTCCACCTTAGTCCTCGGGGGTGACAAAGCTTCTGCAGTTTGATTCTTAATCAAGAATAAATGTACATGTCTATGGACCTTAGCACCCACTTAGTCAGTTGGACTATGTGTTCGTTTGTCAACCTTATTCTATATAAAAAAAATAGTCCAAATTGGTAGTCTTTGAACACCGTTTTCTGTCAACGGAATTCTACGCTTTTTAGCTTCACGTATTTACCCCCTTGATGGCTACAATTGTTCCCTAGTATCGTAGCTACAATTCTTAATGATTTCGTCCACACTCCTAAGCTTGCTAAGGTAGTATACCTTGATTGCTATACAATTAATTGGGTATACCTTATCATCGGCTTCCGTTCTGGGTTCAGTTGCCTGCACTCTGTCGCGTGCTCTAGGTAAGGCCGCTCGCATACGTGCGCCGAGTGCCCCAAGTCGCGATCGCTCGCGTCCTCCCACCGCACTCTCCGTGTCGCTACTGACCGGTACATGTTATTATTATGCCATTGAGAAGCATAAAAATTAAAAATTTCGGGTAACATAATCACACATTTAAGTGCCAACTGAAGCCAGATTTAATTCAAACCATTTTGGAGCACCAAACATGCACTGAAATCTAGATTAGACAATACTAACCCGCATGCAATACACACAAATGGCAAACTTGCCTTGACCTTCAACACACGAATAAAATAAACTACGATTTACGAACAAAATATTTGACAACTTTCACTAATTGCAGTGAAGTAATTTCGACTACAACGTCAGTAAGGTGCGCATTTTTGTTATAAAAGTAACCTACTTTTGCGAACAGAAATATGAACCCGCCTTGAATGCAGTTAGAGTGTAAAAGGCCTTATTTTTATAGTATACTTAATACGGCGCTAGTCTAATGGCAGTTTCGATCGATTTGTAATTATTAATTACAGTACAATAGTATAATTTCATGTTTCATCACGCAATAAGAATTATTAGATAATAATATTAGAATGTATATATGTTAATATATTATGTAATTAAACAATATTACGTTGCTGTATATATAGTTGAATTACTTTATTTAAAATAATTATTTTGTGCACGTACACTTACATACCTACTTTCAATTCAATACTTTGTGAAAAAAGCCATTTAACAAAGTGGTGTTACACAGAAGGCACTATTGGAGTAAAGTAAGTTGAGGCAATAATTTAATGCTTTTAAGTGTATTGGTTCATATAGGCCATAGGGACCATAATATAATCGTTAAAAATAAATAAATTAAATTATGATATTGAAAGATTTGAACTAGAACGTTCAAAACCACTTTTGACTAAAAAAATCAGTGAAAATTGTTTTTGAAGCAAAGGGCAGTCAGTCTGATTTTCGCAGTCAAAAGTGATTTTGACCAGTTATGAGTTTTGATATTACTCGTAAATTTTAATTTTAAATGTTGGTTTTTTGGTTTCACACATTTTTGTTATTTTCATTGGGCATGTGCAAATTCAACTATACGCCAATAGTGCCGTCTAAATTGCATAGGTTTTAAACATACGTTCTAGAAGGTTGCGCCATCCCACTTTCTAAAAGCACATCCCCCGCCGGCGTCCTTTCAGAAAAAATAATTAATTTACACAGGAGAACGCACATGAGAAACTCATGTAAATGTTTTTGGTATTGGTTGAGATATAGTCTTCCGTCGTTTATGATATTTTAAATCTCAGTTTTTCTTAATTATTATACGGGTGACATTATTTTTGTTAAAACTATTTTAAATATTTTTAACTAAAGTCTCATTTTGTGTATTATATGACTCAATAAACAGAAACAAGTTTATTATCGTTTTCATATTACAGACATAATAGAAATTTTACATATCTCATAACTGCTTTCTCTCTTACGCTTTTAAACAAATCAATTAATGTCAAATTCGCGATCAATCAAATAAAGCACTCTAAAGCAAACAGAGTTAAAAATCAATGTATGAAGAAATACATAATTTTAATAATGTAAAAAGTTTCAATACTCACGATTCTCCCGAACTCTTCGTGTGATCGCGCACTCCGTTAGCTCCTGTAATTATAATAGTTGTTAAACCTTAAAAAATTATATTCCATAGAGGGGTCCGCAAACTTAACTTCCCAAGGGCGTAAACATGGTATTAATAGAACCTGTTGCAGTTGCTAATTTTACCCGCATCTTTGAAGAAGTACAAAGACGAACTGGAATCTTTTATTAATAGTTGGCAGAATGTCTAACCCTTTTGATATTAATAACAGGTATTTCAGGGGCTGGAGTATCGTTTATATTTTATAGCATGCAACTAACCCAAGTTCGATCTCCGGTGAAATTGTACCATCGCTGATATTGCTATATAGTTGGCGGTGAAGAGAACCTGTATGCCGAAGAAGTTAAGCTTTTTGGAATTTTCTTGCTTGCATTACTAGCTCGAAATTGTGCAGCGCGCCCTAATTCTTATGTATTGCATGCACATTACGTACTCAGAGTCGGATTTAAATGTGATACCTGCCTTTATACTGCCTTTATAATGCCAGTGAATGTGCTTGGTATTTGATACTTTAGCTCGAAACATTTCATCACGTTGGCGGTTCTCCATTAACCTTAATTTATTAACAGATCTCAGATACAGTGCAAACAACTTCAACTAGGGGTCACAAAACACAAAAGACGGACTGAATGCTATATGGATATGACATTCTCTACCAGTCAACTCGGTGGTAAGATAAAATTGAATGAATGAAGTGATAAAATTAAAAATTTCGTACAACCCACTTCAATATAAATAAAATGCAAACATTATCAATGTAGTCGAAGTCAATTAAATACGCATTATTAAGGATAACTCAAAAACTACTCGTCAGTTCTTGATCAAATTTACATGGGACCACCTGAGAAGCACCGGCTTTCAAATAAAACAAGAATCATAGAAATCAATTCACCTATAAAAAAGTTATAAGGTAACACACATAAGAAAACATACAGTCGAATTGAGTACCTCCTCCTTTCATTGAAGTCGGTGAATAAACATTGAATGAAATCAATGTTAGGTCACGCGAAAAGATAATATAATTTCTATTAATTTTATTGCTTTCTACGATTGTAGAATAACAACTTAGTTAACTCTGCTAAAACGTAATAATCATTGCTTTTTGTAAAACTTTATATCAACGTCCTAAGTGCTAACGTTTTCCGCTTACGAGTCCAGTCCAATCCGATTTACCGAAGACGGATTGGTCCATTAATTTTTATATGTAGCTGCTATTGTATTTTCAGTATTTTTATGTTTCTTCCCTTCCTTAATCAAAATTTATACCGTGGCTTAAATAAAAAATTAAACTATGTAATTAAATATACATTCTGTTAATTATAATTTTTTTCTATTATAGATTGAAAACATTTAAGCCCCATTCTTGAATATACATATTTAGTATGCATATATACGCAACTGTAGAAGTGTTAGATAGGAAAAATAAATGGGCTGGCCAATTAATTACATTATAATTAAATAATATACGACTCTATACGTGTGGTTGAATGTGAATGACAGGGTGAGAAATTGTTTGATACGAGAAGAGTGTGGTTTGCAAGATGATGTTTTGACCAGGATTAAGAAAGGAATGCTTCGGTGGTTTGGTCATATAGGAAGAATGAATGAGGAAAGAGTGGCAAAGCAAATTTATGTTGCAGAGATGAACGGCAGAGATGACGCTCTAGGCGAAAGTTTATCGATCAAATTGGCGATATATTGAAAATGGGCCAAATCAAGAGTACCTTTAACCGACGAACGTGTATGCCTAGGTATATGGGTGTGGAGGAAGCGAGAGAGGTGTGTCAGGATCGTGCCAAATGGAAGTCCATAGTCTCTGCCTACCCCTCTGGGTGACAGGCGTGAGTGTTTATGTATGTTATGTGTATGTATCTATACGTGTATTGGCGTCGTTAGAGAAACCACTACCACCACCACATATCGTCCCGCCGGTGTCGTAAGAGGCAACAGAAGAAAAATTAAAATAGGAGAAGGGCAGCAGCGTCCTCCTGATAAAAACTCAAAATAATACAAACCGCAGTTGGCGAACTTGACAACTATGACAAATGTTTCTTTTATGAATTAATCTATTGGGGAGACCTAGCAGCGGGATCAGTCGTTTCGTGACAGGCAAGAATGATGATGATGATAATGATGATAGAACTTAAAAATTGCATAATAAACCCTACCAATAAAAATGCAAAGGCATTTTATAATTAAGACCTTAAATAAACGTTTAACTTTAAGAAAACAATCCCAGGGTTCCATAACCAATGCCAAAAACTAAATATGATTTTGTAGCACTGCACCTATATTTCGGATCGGAATGCTGGGCTGTCGTCATTCGACGTGAAATGTCATTCCCATTCATTTTTACAATTTTCTACTAGCGTTAACGATTGTAGAAAGTTAACTTGACAAACCCAGTAGGTTGAGCTTTCTTTTTAAATGCCATTGTAGTTATCGTCGTAACGAAACGTAATTTAGCAATACATAATATGCTTCGTTACGCTTATAAGTATTTACAGAATCTAAAATGGTTGGGCCAGTAGTACTGGTTCATTAGTGTTATTATTTTTCTATCTCTCATACTTCGTCTAAAACCTACTGATTATACTTTCTACCAGGGATGTTGCGGATATTCAAATCCGCATCCCCAAATGCGAAAACATCCGCATTGATTTAGACATCTGCATCCGCATCCGCATAAATCAATGCGGATATTTGATGCGGATGCAGATGTGGAGTGGAGCAAATCACGAGACGATCATAAAATGAGATTGCACATGCTGGTGACAAGATCCAACAGTTATACATAATACATTTGTTTTATTTGGTCGCGGTAATTCAGGAAGTGTCAGTCACAACGTTCGTTTCCTCTATTTGACTAAGTTTATTGTGTGTTCCATAAATATTTCGTCGTATAAATTATAAATTAGAAAAAGTGAATAAAAATGTCTTATTGAATGATGAAATGACTTATTTGAAATTACACGAAAGTGATCGGATAAGTACCAGTGCAAAATGTGTAAAAAAAAGTTACTCACGAAAGGGACGTACGACGTACTTCTTTGAAAAATCATCTTAAATCGATGCACCCAGAAGAATTTAGTTTGTTCAAAAGCTCGAATAACAAAAAAACAGTTGAAGAATAAAAGAAGATGAAACAGGTAAATTTGAATTTCAATCTGGTTTTATAAGTTTAGAAACTTACATTCAGACTCGATGAAAAGTAATTCTCAGCTATAGGCACACTTTCTAAAAATTAATCAGATAAGAACACGACTTTACTGTCCCCTAACTTTTATATTTTGTGTTTATTGATATTATTCAAAGTGTTAATCTAAAAAAAGGAAGACGTTTCATGTGATATTATCATTTATTTTATGACTATTTCATACACGATTTATATGATTTTTTTAACTTAGAAGCGATATTTTTCAAGCAATTTAAAAAACAATAAAAATATATACACATCTGAATTGAGAACCTCCTCTTTTCGGTTAAAAACACTTGCCGGTTTTCATACCAGTTTTTGATGTTTAGTTTCAAATTGCTTTTCAAGTTTTTACTATCGTTAATAATTAATATACAAATGAATTCAATGAGTTGCAGCGCTAAGGGCCGCGAAATAATTAATATACTATTTATATGGCCTAAAAATAATTGTTCCGGTCTGGATGTTGTCGATCTTGCCTTGATATTAGACGTTCATTTTCACTCATCCAGTGAAGATGAAGGTCAAAAAGAAACACCTGACAATCCGCATGCTCTTTTAAAGAAAGAGTTGGTAATGTATCGGCAGAAAAAAGGCTGGATGTGGATCAAATCCACTGACCTGGTGGAAAGTAAACAGAGGAGAATCGAAAATTCTCAGGGTGTGCATGCAAGTATGTACCTACTTATCACCTCCACCGTCCAGCATTCCCAGTGAACAGTTATTTAGTTGCGCTGGGCTAATCTATGATCCACTAAGAAACCGGCTGGAGGCTGATAAAGCTGCGGTATATATTAAATATGATGTACCAATTTTTTATTCTTACTTACTTACTTACTTATCTTCACGCACAATCCCTGACGGGGTAGCCAGAGAGAACAGATCGCCAAGTGTCACGATCCTTACATACCTCTTTCGCTTCTTTCAGATTCAGATCATTATCTTCTTCATACATGCACGTCTAGGTATCCGAGTACTCTTGACCCTCCCCTCTTCGAGCAATTTGCTCACATGGTCTTCGAAAGTTAGTCTCGGTCTACCTCGACACCTTTTAATATTAACTTTCGCGCTATATATTTTCTTTACCATTCGGTCTTCACTCATTCGCTCAACTTGCCCAAACCATCGAAGCACGCCCTTATCAATTTTTGTGATAAGGTCATCTTTCAAACCTGCCATATTGCGAATCTCTTCGTTTCGTTTTCGGTCGGCCATGGTAACGCCGCACATTTTACGAAGAGATCGCATCTCCACTGCATTCAACTTGCTTTTATGCTTCTTCTGGCATACCCAGGTTTCGCTGCCATATAACAAAATCGGTACCAACACTGCGTTATATATTGCAAGGCGTGCACTCTTCACTACGCCTTGCCTTTTGACTAACGCAGTCAGGGCACCATTGACTTTGTTCCCGGCAGCGACATGCCTGTCCACATCTAAATCACATCTTCCATCCCGGCTAAAAGCACTCCCCAAGTATACAATTTCATTTACCTGTTCTAGACATTCCTGATTTACCCATATTTCACACTTCGTTCTCTCTTCGTCCTTTTCAAATACCAGAACCTTAGTTTTATTAGCATTCAAACGGAGACCTTTAATTTCACATTCCTCTTTCATACACGTGACTAATGCCTGCAGTTCTGCCTCTGATGGTGCAATAAGCACTGCATCATCAGCATACAGCAGACAATTTACTTTAATGTCACCCAATTTCACACCCAAACAGCTATCTTTCAGCTTCTGTAAACAGCTGTCGAGATACAGTATGAACAGCCAGGAAGACATGACACAACCCTGTTTTACGCC